CCGGGCGAGTGCAGAGAACAGCACAGTGAGCCCCAGTAAAAGGACAGCCCCAGCCCAACAGGAACCCCTCATGGCCAGCCCACTCCTCTGTGCCCACACCACATTCCCACATGTACGCCAACCCCCCAGGTGACCCTGAAGCAAACTCCAGCCACTTTTTCATCTGTAAGTATTTCAGTTTAAACCTCCAACCCACAAGGACTCTCTACCCAAGAAGTCTTCCAAAAGTTCATGGAAAGGAGTTACTAAAAAATCGCATATATTACAAAATTTTGTACACCAGTAAGTTTTACTTTTTTTCTTTCTTTTTTATTTTGCCAGAGGGCACATGGGTTCACAGGAGAGAGACAGACAGAGAGAACGAAGGAAAGTGAGAGAGCACCCCCCAGGGGGCATGGTCACGCCACAATCCCTTTCCATCTCTCTGTCTTTCTAACATTTTGGGCACACCTGCACAGGACCCTAGCATGTTTTTCAAGCCACCAGGGGCCAGGACACAAACCATGCCATCAGCCATGTGGGATCTACCTCTCTTCACCACCAGGTGCCAGGGCTGGCCCTGAAATGCAGATTTCTTACCCGTACCCACCATCCCCACCCTGCTCTGGCCATGCCCCCCATTCCAGACAGCTCTCCCTTCATCTGTCTTCTCTACACAGTGGAATTAAGCATGTGACACAGTCTGAAAGGAACCTCGCTGCCCAAGGACGTCTGGAAGGCCAGTGCATAGGAGCTGGATCCCACGTGACAGCCATGGTTTGAATCTTGACCCCAGCAGCTTGGAAAACACACCTGGTGCATGTGCACACACATGTGCATACCCATGTGCACGCCCAAAATCCCGAGGGACAGCAGAGCAGAGGAAGGCACTGCACAATGACTGTGCCTCACTGGGAGCTGCCTTCTCTCCTCTCTCTGATGAGAATGTGCATCCTCCGGCAATAGAAGGAAAAGACGTTTAGAAATCAGAGGTTCCGGGGCCGGCAGGGGGCGTGGTGGCTAAGGGCACTGGACTCCCACATGGCTGACTGCAGTTTGAGTCCCGGACCTGGCAGCCTGCTTTCTCACACACCCCCCACTCTCTGTCCCTCTCTGGTCAAATTAAACTAAATAAATACACAAATAAAGTAAATAAAGTTCAATAAAATAATTCTTCAAAAAAAAAAAAAAAAAAACCAGAGATTCCGACAGTCTCACAGGTGTATGCTATCTCAACAGTTTCTGCTTCACAATCTCTAGCTAAGGCAGATTTGGGGAAGGAGGAGGAACCCCACTGCAGGGCGTTGGTCATGCCCGAAAAGAAAGAAAGAAGAAAGAAGGAGGGTGACAGACAAGACGATGCTCTCGGAACCTGCCTGGTTGCCTGTAGACACACACACACACTCACAGGACACCCGCTAGCTCAGGAACAACAGAAGTGACGCTGAGCCTTTAAGAGCGAGCTCAGGCCCCC